AAAAAAAAAAAAAAAGCTGGAAAGTTATTCTACACAACTCCTCAGTTGTGAAGAAGCCTCAGAAAAAAAAGTCCTAAAAATACTTCCACTCTTTACCCATGACCTGTTTCTGGGTAAGTGATAACTCAGTGTCCTTGTTGTCAGTCCAGCCCTCAATTTAGGACATTTTTTCACTTTCAGCGTCACTGTGTGTCGTGCTTTCCTTCCACAGTGCCACCAGTGCTTTTCCTTTCCCTCCTCCTTAATGCCAAGGACATCATGCCACACACTAGCAGAGCAACAGCAAGGAGGGGAAAAAAATACCAGCAATAGCAAGGGAGATGTAAATAAACCATAAAGAACTCTTAGTTCACCCAGTGATCTGGTACAACTCATTGCCACTAATACAAATGATTAATTAGGTCATACCATAAATGTAGCTTCTGATATAAGCCATTTCCAACTCCACCCTCACCCCTCCCAGAAAAAAAAGAAACAATGTGATGAGTTTCAAATACGATATCTGCAATATTCCCCTTCATCTTCCTCCGCACTGCCACATAGTTGATCTGGGAACATTAAATACAGAGCAAATCACGCCTACAAAGCAGGAAGGAAAAGACAACATGCTTCAACAGTCAGACTTTCTAAAGTACCAGACAGAGAAGGTGTCCTGACCTGGCGGTCTTCATGAGGAGGAATTCAAATAATCCATTGATAAATGTAACAGAAGGTACTTCATATGAGAAAAGAAGAAAAAAAAAAAAAGTTCAAGCTGTCCTTAAAATGAATTCAAAATGAGAAAGCCTACCTGTTATCAGAACCGCTTTGTGCACCAGAGAACCTGCATTTCTGTTGAACACACTCAGCAGTGTGTCACAGCTGTGTTTCCGTTGCCCTTTTGTTATTGCACTGTTTACAATGCCCAGAATAAACATCTCACCTGGAAATAAACCAAGCCCCACCTAACACGGCAGATTACTTTCACTGCAGAAACACCACCTGCCATGTAAATGTTTCCTAATACTACAAAGCATCTGCCTCTGAAGGACTTCAAGTGCACTTTTTAAAAGAATAAAGTAGGTAGATAGATAAAATATCTATTGTTTCATTTATTCCGATTAGCTTAATGCTAACTACAAAACCACACCCGCTAACCAGAATTTCACTATTCCTGGTCCCTGAGAAAAGTTTTTCAGGCATATCACAGACACGCTCAGCACTGCAGTAAGCATCAGTGGCTACGTGTCTGACTGACAGTGTGATCATGGGGAAAAAAACACTCATTTCTAATAGTTTTATCTCTTGGTCCCAAAGACCTTACGAGAATGTGCAAGCACAGGTGCAGTGGTGTTACACCAACTTCATATTTTTTTCCAAAGAGGGTGGTCTAAATGGGCAGGCTTTCATCTCTGTAACTCTACAGTGACTTAACATTACCTGTGAAATACGGGCAGAGGACTGGGGCCATCCCAGCTTCCCACAGCCTGCCAGTGGCACTGCAGCAGCCAGGGATAGCTCTTTCCTAGATGACTTGGGGGGGGTGCCAAGTGCAAGTAAATGACTCACACTCAAGCTAGAGAAGAGAGGGAGTGCGGATACGTTTAGGAAGTGATGAAGATCTAAAAGAAGCTATAAATTGTGCAGGCTGTGGTTCATTCATACTCTGAGCTCTGCAATAATGATAGCATCGGGCACGATAGTTTACAGTGTGACTGTTACATGGGCCCTTGGCCAAGGCTTTATCCTGAACTGGTTCAGAAGCATTATTCCAAAGTTGTCAGCAACTCTTTTCTAAATTGCCCCTGTCGGTGATGTTTAAAGGGAACTTCTTGCCATATTTATCTTTCCTTAATAGTGAGACACTATAATGCTGCAGCAATATAAGATGTCTTTTATATTTGGAGAGATTTAAATTTTACCCTTGATCCTGTGCATCTGACCTGAACACTGCGTGGAGAGCACATGCTCAGCACTGCCTAGTTCAGCTCAGCACAGTGACTAACCTGAACAGCTGAATATAACTTTGCAAGCAAGTACCTGAAGAGTGTAAATAGTATCTGAGTATGCTTGAAGTTTCTTTTAATTATGGGTCTCAGTGGTCTCAGTCCTTCCCTGCTGTTGCAGCAGGTAAGACTGTTTCTAGTGATTTATTGATTACTGCTGCAGGAGGCAACGTGCCATGATTTCAAAATGCAGCAAGGAGGGTTTCAGCCTTATTTTTCACAACAGCAATACTTGACAACTTTTCAATCCATTTACTAACTTGTCAGTAATTACTATTTCATGTATTTTCAGACATCAACATTGAGTAGAAAAACAAAACTTGGCCTGACCTACTCCAGGGGTGGATGTTGTTTCCGCACAACTCTGGCACCCTCCGGTTCCAGCGCGGTCTCCCGCGCCGCGGGCTCCCCGTCACAGCAGTTGGCTGCTGCCCCCTTGCGAGCCCGGCCCTGCTCCGGAGCCTGGACCACGGCTACTTAGAAAACGTTCCTGGTCGCCTAAAGGCTCCTTCTGCACAGAGGAAGGGGCAGCTCCCCGTCCCAGCCAAACGTGGTGACATTTCTGGCGTGGCCCTTGCGTGCGGCAGCGAGGGCCCCGTTACGCCATGGCGACGCCAACAGCGAACGCCTCCTTGCGCCCCGCAGCGCTGCTGTGACCACTGCCCGCTCTGCGGCCTTGGATCTCCGGCTCCCAAAATGCTTCCTAAGCGGGAATGAGCTCACACCGTCCCAGGGTGGGCCGACAGCAATAACCTAAGGGACGGATAACACGGAGCGCGGGACAGGAGACGATGCCGCATGGCCATTTTGGTGGCCGTTTGGGCTCTTTGGGGCCCTCGTCCCCGGGGCTGGCTGCACCTTGGCGGGACAACCCTCGTGCGGGAGCGGCGGGGAAGCGCGAGGCTCGTTCCAGCCGCGGTGGAGCGGCGGGGACAGTCACCACGTGCGTGAGGAAGCGCCGCACCGCGGTAAAGCCGGCGCGGGGCTGCGGGCAAGG